TTATAATTAGTTTAATTATAATTAGGTATGATGTAAACAGATATAAAACTTATATTTATATAATATAATATATAAATAGAATTAAATTATAATGTAGAATAAATTATAAGGAAATTTATAATAAATATTATTCTATAATACGCTCAAAAATATAACACATTTTATTAGAATAATAAAATGATCTAAAAACCATAATATCTGAAAAAATTACGAATCTAAAATTAGTTGCTTACAATGGTTGTTATTTTACAATGTAGTATGTTATTTTTGTGTAAAATAAATGCAAAAAATTAAATGTTGAAAATTACGTAGTTTATGACTTTTCCATAATACTTAAATGATAAATTTTGAAACTCTATAAGTGGTATTAAAATTATATTCTCTTAATATTGCCAAAAGAGCACAGTAAAGAAATGGTCAGAAACAAGGTGTGATAGTATTAAAGCAATAAAGTTTCTGATCGTTCATCGCATTAATCCATTTAATTATCATTTTTTTGTTGATCTTTTGTTTCGTTTCCAATTAATTTTGTTCGTCTTTTTGACGAAATCAAACCCTTTTTTTTTTCTTTCTTATTGCCGGCATAATGTGAACCGCCTTGGAACTACCGCGAGGTATTGCTTCAGGGCGATATCAAACCCAACTAAGGCAAACCTTAACAACGATGGTTTGATAAAGTCTTAAATGATCTAGCAATGCCAGGGGAGTTGAAAATTACAGAATAATGGATATTATAGAGAGAGATGGAAGTGTGTATTGCAGCAATGGGCCTTCACGACTTCTAAATCTGAAAAAAGAAGTGTAACACTAAGAGATATAAAAATAAAAATTATGTACAATAAGGAACTCAATTTACTGTGTCGTTTTATTTTAAAATTACTATTATTTTCACATATTATTATACAGGGTGTTCAGTAAGTTAAGAACACATGTCAATTGATATAAACAATGAGATCAATTGAAACCTGTTTTGTTACTTACTGAACACTCTATATAATAATAATTAACGGTATTAAAAATAATTTATACAAGCGGATATAAATTGTGTGGCAGTATCGTTTTTTACCCAGTGTAAAAATTATTTTAGGCTCCATAAAAATATCGTATAACTTTTATTTAAAAGGAACGATAAAAAAAAATAATAATAATTGCTAAAATATTAAGGCATATCTCATTTTCTTAGTTGGGGTCCATGTATCATCACACTTGTCGATAAAAAAGAGGTGTCGTATGCAATGTGACACGACAACACACGCATACAGCTTACAGAAAGACGTTAAGGGTATAAAAATGAAAACGCATAATTTCAAAAAAAAAAAAAAGCACACTGTATAATCATAGAAGAACCTTCAGTGTTCCAAACCAAAATCTATTACATCTCGATTTTATTCTTTGTTATATACTTAAAACTAGGTAGAGGTATTATTAAATATTTACAAATAGAAGTTATTTTTGTTAGTGTTTGTCTTTAACGTCTAGTCTTACATCTAGAAAGTTAATTTTGTTATTGTTTTTTTTTTAACATTCCATAAAAATTTACTATTTGATATCTACATAGTAATATGTAGATATCATATAAAGGCTAGGTAGTTTTTTATGAACCAGATATTTAAAGCTTTCAGGACGATCTTAATAATAATTATAACTAACAACATTGATGATATATATTGAAATATTTCTATACGAATTCTAAATTTTTAAATTACGTATGCATTTAGGATTTCCAAAAATAGAATTTTTGTTGCGCTAAAATAATTTCTACAATAATATTTGTAATTTTCTCATTTTTTGGTGATACCATAAAGTTGACATGAAAGCATCCTTTTGCGTTTATAGTAAGCATATTAAATGTCAATGAAACATTTCGTAGTGCTCTTATCTTATTAAAAACGTATAAATAATAAAAAATAAATGACCGCAGAATTACGTATACGTGGTTTGTCACGATAGTTTTTTTAGGCATTTTTTGTGTTTAATTAATTAACAATTAGGTTCCGCCCCAAACCTCTGGTCTTTCGAGCTTCACGCGCCTTGGTTACGTGACTCTTTGGGCCACGTATCAACCTAACCAAGGCAAATATTTAATGAAAGTAATGTGCTCAATTTCATTTCCTTGCCATGTGATTTAAATTTTCTGATTTGCTTGACTGTTACGTAGATGCAAGGCACATATCTGGGTTTGGTTTGAATTGTTTTTTTTTTTGGTTGTAAAATAGCATGGCCTGAAGTGAAATATTCATCTTAATTTTTACTTCCTTGAAGTTATTACCTTAGATTGACAGAGCCACATCATCTGCATCTGTAGATTATAAAATTTGGCACCTGGTTGTATTGGAAAATATTGATTGTTTATTTAGACGTTGTAGAGTATCGGAGCCAAAACACTGCCTTGGAAGAACCCATTCCTCTGGGTTCTTCAGTTACGTTTTTTACACTCCAGGACTACAAAAGCTGTCTATTGTGGAGTAATGTCTCAATAACTTTAGATAGATTATAGTCTTCAGTGAGTTTATCCAGAAGTAAATTGTGATTTAAATATTGCATCGATGATATTTTTTCTTTACGACCAGTTTCGATAAATTGTGTTAAGTTGAGGATTTGGTCTGTGTATGATTTTAGAGTCATGTAGATCAATTTATCTTTAATGAGTTTCTTATCAACAGTAAAGCTTAATCTATTTAGAGGTAATCTTACAAATAATTTATACGGATGGAATAAGAGATGGGACGACCACTTTTTGGGTCGTCAAGGTTCTTCCTAGGATTGAGTAGTGCAATAATCTTTATTTTTCTCCATATTTTGGGTATCTGATAAGTGATTATTGTTTCATTAAAGAATTTATAGCACCAGTTCTTGGCAACCTGTCAAAAATATTTGATCTGTTTTGACAAAATATAAATAAATAATTTAAATTTGATTTTATATTAATTTTTAATTAGTATATTACATTTTAATAAGAATTATTCATTACCAATACATATTAAATTATAATTTAATAATTTAATACATTTGATGTTAATTAAAAAAATTCAGTTTTTTTAAATTATTTTTTTAATAATTTATCTACTCAATTTTTAAGAAGAGAATGCACTACTGCGTACGTTTTAAATTAAAATAACGGATAAACTACAAAAACAATACATTATATTCGAAATTAAAATGCTACATACGTTTTAGATTACAATTTAAATAAATCTATTTATTTTTATAATTCTATTATTTAAAATAAACAAGTGTATATAATTATAATTAATAATAAATATATTTATAATGGTACTTGTTTATATTTAGATTAATACAATCATAAAAATAAATAAATTAAATTAAATTATAATATACAATAATTTAAAAGTCATAGCTTCGCATCGAAACTAATAAAAAAGCTTATAAATCGGTGAAAAAGGAATAGATTGAATTAATTTTTTTAGAAATTTTAGAAATGTCTCTAGGTGAACTTAGTGAAAATTTCAAACTTTAAATCGTAAAACGGTGATTCTCGAAAATGATCAAAATTTTTAAACTCTCGCGTTCTTAAATGCACATTTAAGTGTATCTTAGTCTCTCTACGTAATAAAAAAATATATCACAATGTAGGAGTCACTTAAAAAGGAAAATATTCATATTTTTATCAGAAACACACAAAAATATTTTATAACTGTTGTTATAAACTCAAATAATTAACCTAATAATATTTGTTTGAAATTACTAAATATATTTGGTTAATATTTTTACAGTTGGTTCAATTATATAGGTAGTTCTATTTGTTTGGCGTACTTTAGTATACCGTTAGGCTATATATTTTTAACCATTTTTCGTGATTTTGTGAAAAACACCTATGATTTATTAAATTTTTTATTGGTCATTATTGATATTTTAAGAAAAACTTACGTTTTTTATTATTATTACTGTTATATATTCATTACGTTTAATATCATTATTTCTATAATATATTGAAGCTTCTGAATTACAAAAGTTAAAAAGAATAATAAAAATTGTCCACCATTGTTTTAGAGTATAAAAAATTGTAAAAATATCGGATTCATACTCTTCTTTTTTTTTGTCTTTATCCTAACTACTTGGGGTCGACCACCCGTATCCTAAACTTGCACTTGACACGATTTCCCACATTATCAATACACACACCAGTAGTCCTAATATAACCTTTAATTATATCCAACCACCTGTTTATTAGTCTTCTTTTTCTTCCTAAAAATATCGGTTTCATAAAAAAATGAATTAATACATTTTCATCTAATTTTTTTTAGCAAATAGATTTCTAGGAGCATGTGTATTTAGATTATTTTATATATACAGTTCATAAATTAATTATAAGTAAGCCTGCTATATATATATATGATTGAATTGACGATACGAGTCCCAAAATCATGAGGACAGAGTATCTCAACATAAGTTATTATATTTTCAAAACATGAAAACGTTTTTTTTATTGCTCGTTATTTTAAAAAATCGCTATAACTTTAAGCTTTTTCTATTTTCAAGCCTACCTACATAATAAATATGGTTCTATGGATGACATTTTTTAATTAGATATTAAAAGTTAATGAAACATTGGATTATTTGAAACGAATAAACGTTATGGGTGTCTGCTAAGTATTCACAATACATTCAAAGGAAATTTATGATTATTTTGTGTTGTGTTACACTATTTATCAATTTTACAATTGTCATATAGTATAACTTACTATAAAATTTTTGATTCAAGTAACACACATTAAAAGTAATATATAAAAATGTTACAAAAAAAACTAAAAATTTTAAATAAATATTAAAAAATGCATATGCTTAATTAATATTTATCAATAAATGGTATTTTTAAATTAGGAAATTTAATATATCTAATGGTAGGTTAGAAAAAAAAACATTCGTCCATTATAGTGTTAGTGGTCATTACACGCGATTGGTGGTATCTCCAAAAAGTACTTACTACACATGCTCTCATATACAATCATGCAAGTTTAACATTATTTACAATTTTTTAGGAACCACCTTCATCATCTGGTTTACGTGATTTATTAACTAATGATATTTTTGAAGACAACATGAGTATTAGTAGAGGTCATTCCATTGAAAAGGTCAGATTTTCAACTAGCCGAACTCATTCAGATGGTAACTAATAAATAATAAAATGTTTGATCTAAATTTATTTGATTATATGTTTTTCACTACTTTAAAATGTGTATGTTTTAATACTAAAAAAAAGCCAGTTTTAACATCTTTAAATTAGATTAAATTAGATTCTTTATCATATAAATACGAATATTCTGCGTATTCAAATGTATTTCATATTAAAATTACTCTGGTTGGTTCTTTAGATCTCATTAATAACAGGACACAAAATTTTATGTTCATATTAAAAGGGCATAAATCACAAACTGATGATTTTTTTACCGTGAAATAATATTTTTTAATAATCCCTTTTTCATTCGACATACTTTATCTTAATCGAGATATTAATAAGGAAATATCAGATCATGTAGCTTTTGGAATAATCCACCAATTTTTTAAAATTAAACACTATCTAAAGATTTGAATCGAAGCGTTTTTTTTTTATAGTGATTTTAATCACTGTCAGATATTATTATACTTGATCCAGCAATGCAACGTCACCACTGTGCCGCGACCCCCTGTGCTGGGATTTTTTTTTATAAATCTGACCCTTTGCCTATCGACAGAGGAGATTCAAAATTACAACTTTATAGTGGGATATAACTGTTAGGACCTCAGCAGAAAACACGTTGCATTCCTTCATGATTTATTTTTTACCTAGAGTACGAATTTGCAAAAATAAAAAAAACGATAGCACAGTGGGGGNTAAATGGGGGAAACCTCCAAAAAAATTACAAATTTAAAAATCGCTAATTTTCGAAATTTTTTCAATTTTTTTTACTAAAAACTGCCGTAACTTTTTCAAAAATGAACATATCAATATAATTTATTTTTATAGATGGTTGATGTCTTTACTTATCATTTGGTATATTTTTTTTGTAAATCTGACACTTAACCTGCCCACAGGGGGGGATTTAAAATGACAACTTTTTCACAAAAAATTTACTTTTTCAACATAACTTTTGAAAATGTTCCGGAAGGTCTGACACTTTTATATATATCTTAAATTAAAGCTAATGTAATATACTTTAATTTGAAAAAAAAAAATTTGACCTCTGGACTTGTCTTCACGGCGAAAATGGCTACCGAATGCTATTTTCGTGTGAAAATTCTCGATTTTATTATTTATATTATATTTAACTTTATAATGCTATAACTTATTGAAAAGTTTATGGATCCACACAATTTTTTTATGAGAAATAATATTTTTTAATAAACCCTTTTTCATTCGACATACTTTATCTTAATCGAGATATTAATAAGGAACCAGCAGATCAAGTAGCTTTTGGAATAAAACACCAATTTTTTTTAAATTAAACACTATTTAAAGATTTGCATCGAAGAGTTTATTTTTGATAGTGATTTTAATCAATGTCATATATCATTATACTTGATCCAACTATGCCACGTCACCACTGTGCCGCGACCCCCCTGTGCTGGGTTTTT